GGGCTCCCCAAACAAGTCACGCATCACCGGCAACTGAAATGGCAAACAGAAATGAAGAACTACGTGGGGTTCCGACGTCGAAAAAGAAACAGAGAAACTGTTGCTGGGCTGTAAAAAAAAACTAGGGCAAGGCAGTGTTAGGGGAGAATCAGTTCATTCAGGAGTGGTTTGAAGGGAAATCAAAAGGAGGCCGTAGCCTCATCAAGGGATCCCCACTACGAAGTTCCATCCAAAGTTCAGTAGGGACATAGAGGATACCACGCATTCCACCCAGGGGACTCATTTCTGCCACCTGATAAAACCCATGTGCCCACATCCTGAGAGCGTGCAGCAATATGCGCCGTACTACAACCCCCCATGAACCAGGTCCGAAAGTAACATCGAAGTTCGCATTTCCTCTCCATGTTTGCTGGGTGCAATGTACCAAACTGCCACCTTTGGCTTCAAGCCCCAGGACTAACCACCAGCTCAAGCGCAAAGTTTTGAGCGTCCCCGCCTCCCTCACCAGGGAGGCATCCCGGGAACGGCAGAGGCCGTCGTCGATGGTCAGGGCCAAGTGGCCCGGGAGCCCGGCACACGCGTCGGGCCCGAACCTGGGAAAGGCAAAACCCAGCGATGCCCTTTTCCTGCAGGGAAGCCAAGGCGACCACCCTGTAAAAACCAGGAAAATGGCTGGTTACCTACTATACAAAATTGGGATTCACCTGGGAAACGAACTACAAGAGATAGCTGGTCCTTCGTAGCGCTTTCGCTGGGCCATAGGATGGAACCAACTCAATTCTCCGGCACACAAAACCTCCTTGCAGCATACTGTCGAACATACAAAGACACAGATTTCGCCATAGTATGAGATGCATGTAGATAGACACGGGTATGCATATCTATCTATCTATCTATCTATCTATCTATCTATCTATCTATCTATCTATCTATCTATCTATCTATCTATCTCTATGTATATATATATATACACATATACATTCAAACAAAAAAAAGGTTGGTTTGCGTCTGGTTTGCAACCCTCCGGTAGCGCTTCAAACCAATCGATTTAGCTTCCCATCAACATTCCCCTCTGAACCCCGCACGGCCTGAAGACGGTGTCCGAGTAGGCAGGGATTTGCCGCGCCAAGTCTGCCAGGTTCCGGGTGCCCACCTGAAGCCAATGGATGCGCTGCCCCGGTAGGGTCCTAAGGCAAAGTCCTTACCGCGTGGGACGCATGCTATGGGCCGAGAGGTTGGTGCATACGTTTCGCCAAAAATCGAAAAGTCGAAAAGCGCTTGACTTTGCGACTTTGCGACTTTGCGTGACTTTGCGTGACTTTGCGCGACTTTGCGCAACTGTGCGACTTTTCGGGGCTTGTTCGTTTGTTCGTGAATTGTCGGCTTTTCAACTTTTCGATTTTTCATTTTTTTCGACTTTTCGACTTTTCGACTTTCCGCGACATTTAGCGATTTCGGGTTTTTGTTTTTCAACTTTGTGAAAGTTCAACTTGTTGATTGCTCTTGCTGTTTGTCAACTTTTCGACTTGATATTGTTTGTTTTTGCTTGGCATTTTGACTTTTCGGCTTGTCTGGCGGTTGTTCGTATTTCTTCTAATTTGTTTGTTGGTAAGTGCCGTGTTTTTCGTGTTGCCTTTTTCCCCCACGTTTTGAGCGCTCGTCAGCCATCATTCTATGTCAGCTTTCCCAACCATGTGATTCGCCTTCAGTGTGTTGTTTGTTCAACAAAGCCCCTAACTATGGATGGAAGTGATGGGCTTGGCTGTGGCAGCATTGCTGTAGGCTTTCCTTCAAAGTCGCCGTCCCATACTCACCGAAAGCAACGTGAGACATGAGTTGCATGGAAAACGACATCACTGACATCCAAAAGTCATCCAGGGACTAAAAGATGGTGCCCAACAAGCAAGCAATCGACACACTCTTGATGTTTGTTGCATGTTTTTGTTGAACCAACATTACATCGAGTCGTTTCTGGTGAACCACCATGCTTTTTTGGTGTTCTTATTGTCGGCGATTATGGGGGGGCTTCGTATAGGTGTTGTTGGATTTGAGGAAAACAAAACACCTGGAAATCACTCTTCTTTATCCCAGCAGCTGGTGAGAGTCCATCAATCTCCTACTGTAATAAGCTTTTCCCAAAGCTAGAGATTGTGAGGAATGACGAAGGGATAAACGTCAACTGCATTCATTCATTTATTGAAGTTTGTTGTTGACCGGCGTTTGGAATTGAAACAGGGATGCTTGAGAGAGACAGAGACACAACTTGAATAGGAAAAATATCTATCAGCTTTAAAAAAAACAAAATGAATTTGTATAAACGCACAACTATACATTATACATGAGTTTAGAAGTTAATTATGAATAATGACAAGTTGTTCATAAACTAACTACTCAAGCAATGCCATGCTGACGTTCTTTATGATTACGTTCTTAAAAGCCTTTGCAGAGTGATCATTATAAACCCATCCATCTTTGTCATGTAGCTTGTCCCTTCCTTTCGTTATCTACAAATATTCTCCCAACGGCTCTTACTGTGCCTGCAGCTGAGATAGAGCATGAATGTAACTCTCCCTCCACTCCAGATAACCACTTGCTCAGGGCATTGTTTGAACAGCAGGCTGTTCCGCCGTACATCCTTGTTTTGGTCAAGGGTTGGCATCATTGGACATCATAACCTGAACACGAAGGTATTTTGAGTGGGAGCCATCAATCATAAAGAAGGGCGGCTCGCCTGAGCAGAAGGCCAAAGGCAAGAAGCAATGCACAGTTCCGCACGCAAGGCTTGTTCAAAATGGTGGTTTTGCCTCGCGGCCTTCCTTTAAAACCATCCAAAAAGAGAGAGGGTCCCCTATCTTGGTGGCCCCGAGATAAAAGGTCTAACTGTTCGTATTGCCGTGGAGATGCCGATCTGAGACCTCCGTTTCAGGAGTCTTTCTGTTCACAGAAACACCAAAACCCAGATCAACCCTTGGACCTGTGCTCTTCTGCCTGTTGAGCCACCTTTTGTTGGGGGAACTAAGGCCGGTGCCAGCGTCAGGACCCTCCACAGGCTCTTCAGTGCCGCACCGGTGCTTGCTGCCACCATGGCGCACCAGCGCCGGGTTCAAAAACCGCCGGTTGAAACCAGGGTGGTTTATACAACGTGTGGGTATTTATTTGAAGAACGCTCAAGTTGCTTGAGTTTTTTGGAGGGTGCAGATTTTGAGCTTGGCCGAAAGGGAACCAAGGGAAAACCACCAGTTGCTGTGTCCGACGATTTTGATACCAAAAACATGTTCAATCCACGGCTGTTTACACAACCTGTTGGCTTTCCTTTAAAAGTTTTCCGCCACAAGCCGGTTGAGCGGGCACTAGTGAAGTTGCTGAGGGTAGGTCCACCCATGCAGGATGCACACTTCACATGGCACAAGCAGCATAACGACGAGATGTCGCATGTACAGAAGTGATGTTTCAAGCGTTGGATTCTTCTCGCGCAAAATCCCGATCTCTCAACCATTCCCGGCTTCCATTCGAGCAGCGCCCAAGACCCGTTGACTCAAACTGGCCTGCTTCCTTCTGGTTTTCCTTTAAACCCAACAAAGGAGGGTCTACAAGCCAATACCCAAGCCATCCATGCGCCTTCCCCCCGCAATGGTCATATTCGCCCTCTCTTTTCTTTTTCCTTTTTTCGGAGGCATCCAGAAAAACAAGTGACCCAAGCCCCACAACAAAGCCGCAACCAAAGAGTTCACCAGCCCCATGGCTGGACCAGCCCCTTGCTCCATGCTCAAATCACGATTGCTACATCGAAAAGGAGGGGTCAGGTGTCGTTGCCTGAGTGTTGCGGCAACCCTGCCACTTGAAAAGGAAGACAAGGAACCCACTCCTCTTTATCTCTGGCACGCTTTTGGATCCGGCTTTCATTTTGGCCCGGCATGATGGCCAGTCTTCGATGAACGTGAACCCGACCGCTCCGCCAATCACAAACGGTCCGGCAAGCACATGCACCATGCCGCCGGCGAAGGAGCTCGACGGGGCGGGCTTGACTTTGGCCATGGGGAAGGCTCGGACGCTCCCCCCCCCCCGCTTTGGAGCGGAGCCTTCGGACCCTCCCAGCCACGGAAACAGGTCAGACGCTCAGACGCTCAGACGGTCAGACGGTCAGACGGGCTTGCGCCAAGTGGACGCGAGCCAGGGCTGCTCGCTCTGTGGTCGCCCCGGCGGGCGATAGTAGTGGTGGAGGTACACGAAGCCGGCCGCTTCGAAGAGCGCCTGCCAGCCCTGGAGCTCGTGGTAGAAGCCGTAGCGGGCCCCTTGGTAGCCCTCCACCCCCGGGCCGCGGGGGTTCGACGCAAAGAGCACCCCGCCCAGCCGCAGCGTGGCGTGCAGCTGCCGCAGGACGTCCGGAAGGCACTGCCCGGGCACATGGAACAGGCTGGCGTTGGCGAAGACCCCATCGAAGCGGCCAGCAGGCAGGTCCAAACTCAAGAAGTCCTGGTGCCAGACGCTGCAGCCGGCCGCCCGCGCCATGTCGCAGAAGGCCTTCGCCCCATCGAGACCCACCGCTCGGTGGCCCCGCTGCTGCAGGTCCACCAGGTCCCGCCCAGGCCCACACCCGAAGTCCAGGATGTCCCAGGGCCCGCCGTCGCCCAGGGCGTCGAGAAGCGCTGCGATGTTCTGGGACACGTCGTGGTCGCGGGTGCCTTCCCAGAACATGGGCGCGCGCTCGTTGTAGTGCCCGACGGTGGAGGCGCTGATCTCGGCGAGCTCTGCGGGCGTGTGTTCAGCCGGCGTGGGTTCAGCCATTTTGAGCTCGGCCTTCCCTTGCGCCAGAGACAGCTGCGGCACAGTCAAGGGTACTTAATGACATATGTCTCCAACAGAACCCAACAAAATGTAGTTTTCGTCGAACAACTCGTGAGTCCCCCCCAATGCCCCTCCACATGGACCAATAACAAATATGTTTTTACCAAACCTCAGCTTCATCCCAGGGCAGTTCAGCGGTAGTCCGAGCACCGTGCTCCCATAGCGCGCCCCGCAGCTCCTCCAGCAACCTCACTTTTTCGCTGACTCTCCATCAAGAGCGGCGTAGAGTTTCCGGTGCAGCCGTTGTACATTCCCTTTTTGTCAGGAATGCGACATCCATCCCCCTTTTGGCTGCTTGTTCTCAACCTCGGGGGGCGGAAGCTAGAAATAAAAAAAGACCCCGAAGAGGCCCTAGAGCCCTTCACCCTGAGCTTTCAGGAGTTGTCTTTGCACGAAGTCGGCCGGGGGGATGGCAACAGTCGCTTCATGTGTGCTTTTGCTTTGGTCCCGGTATCTCTTGCACGACTGGTTCAAGGCCGACTGTCAAAACCAAACCATGCGACAAATTAATGTCATGTTGCAACAAAGTGCTGTTTCGTGTAGCGGCCTTCTCCCTGCTGAACTCTGTGGATCTCGTAAGAAGTTGCAAGGAAACAGAGAAGATGCTGGCAAGGGCGCACTTCCTAATGGAAGTATCACCTTCGTGCAATTGAGACAAGATTCTCAGGCTGGTTTAACAAAGTTGCTTTTGGGTCTAGCAATCAAAGCAATGTAACATATGTATCATGCTGCTTACGTTGAACGAAACACAAGCTGTTTAACACTCATAGCGAGTTAGCTGCTCTTGTTCTTTGTGCGGACTTGCAAGCTAACTGTTACACAAAATAGTTTACTCTGGGCCATTCGCTAGTCCGCACCAACCGTGCAGCACGCTTGCTCCGGAGCGCGCGAGAACTCCTACATCTTGTCCGCTCGCTCTCAAAAGCAAGCAAGCACATGCGCGCGCAAGCTCGAGCGTGTAGCGGTCAGAATCTTGAGACAAAAAGTTGTCTTGTAACACAGCACGGGCGTAACACAAGTTTGCGTTTTGCATGCGGTCCAAGCATGTCATTTCGCCTGAACGACCCGCACAAAACGTGTAAACGGATGGAACCCCCTTTTGGTTAAAGGGAAACAAAAAGCGTTGTCATTGCAGCAAACGGACCGATTCCTATTTTGAGCCCCCCGGAGGGATGAAAACTCAATATTGCAAGTAGGGAACCCTGGTTCGTGGATGGTTTACTTGCAATACTCCAGGGGTTGATTCCCCATTCTTTTCAACCATCGTTCTTTTCGAAAACCGGCTGTTTCTTTTGGGATTTTGATGGTTTCCTGAAAAGATTCGGATCCCTTGAAAGAATGGAATTGGAAGGTACCTGGGCTGCCCCCTCAGATCCCCCGCTAAAAGTTTAACTTTTAGTGAGTTAATTGGAAACTGCCACTAAACAGTAAAAAGCTAGAAGGTACCCCTAGAAATATGTACTGGGCCATCCCCCTTTGCGCATTCCAAAGGCCCCACTGGACCTGAGCGCCTGAGCGCCCCGCTGCGGCGCGTCGCGCGCGCGAGAGCTCAGCAGCTCCAGTGGCAACTGGTTCTGGACCTGAGCAATGCAAATGGCCACGTGACCCCAAAACAGGTGAGTCACTTGCTCAAAACCCGGTATTAAAATGGTCGCAATCCCAGAACCATGCTTCAAGAATCAAGAAGGCGGATATCCGCAGCTGTTTATGGCTGGGATTGTCCCTTACTAAGCTTCATCTACCCGGGTTTTGATTGTGGCTCAGGTGGGTTTTCCTGGTGTCCCGTTAAAACCGTTCAAAAAAGGGGGTACCCTCAAATGAAGCCTGCTGGTTTCCTTAAAAACGAAATTTTCAGTCAAAATTGGTTCCGGCATATTTGATCCAAAAGTGATGCGTACAATTGTAAATCAAAGAAATGTTGAATTAATAACCGGAACAACCATTTGACTCGCAATTGAAACCTGGCACACGGGTCTACCCAAGCCATGTAGAGAATCCAAAAGGCGACACCTATTTCTGGCTGGGACTGTCCCCTAGTGTCGGTTGTTGACTATTGCTCACCTCGGGCTAAAGGGGTCTACCCAGAAGCTTGTAGTTTGCTCCCTATAATTGTCCTGGAATCATGACCTCACCAAAAGGAAGCTTGCCAGCAATTTTGAGACCCCCCCAAGAACAAAGCCTGGCCCTTCTATCAAAAAGGGAATGAAATGCCCCCAACAAACAAAAAGATCCCGCGGCTTCCCCGAAAAAGTTTTCCCAACTCGCCAAAATGTGCCACGCCCAATTTGCGGCCAATTTGCGGCCCAATCCCGCGGTTTCGAAGAAGCTTTTTCCGCTCGCCGCTTTGCCACGGATTCCTTTTCCGAGGCTGGCGCCCAGGCCTTGAGCTGCACCTGGATCTGCCTAGCGGCTTCCGGTTTCTCCGAAAGGGGCGAGGAGTTGACGGCCGAAGATTCGGGGAGGGTGAGGTTAACAAGCACAAGGGGGGTGGGGCGGTGGATCCTGTGAGGGAAACCAGTTGGTCCAAGGCCAACAGATTTCGAGGGGAGGATGTTATTCCTTCTCCCAATCCGTCCCTAGCTCTCATTCACCCGGCTCCTCTAGATCCTAAGAAATGGCCGGTGAATGAAGGGGAAGGAATAGATCCCGGTTAGGAGGGGTGGATTTTGCGAGTTGGAAACCGGTTGGTCCAAGGTCAACAGATTTCGAGCAGGGCCGTGACCGCGAAAGAAACTGCAGAAACTGCTGGGAGATGGCGTTGTCAAATAAAGAAGCAAGGATCTGACCATCAAATGTGTTCCCTTTGAGAATACATGAGATGTGGGGTCCCAATTTCGAAAGGAGTGACGGTTAATGGTCCAACACCTTGACACACCAACCCAAGTTCTAGTCACCAAAAGGAGGAGGGCCCATTCATTGTTCCTAGCCCACCTATCACCTATTCGTTTATACCACCCAACCGGGGTTCTGGATGCATTTGTCCCACAAACATCCTCAAACAGCACCCCACATAAAGGCAGAAAAACATGGGGAGAACCCTTCTGGTCAATTAGCCTTTTGGTGGGACGGGAGAGATTGCAATAAACACCAACGATCAATCAAAACGGGGACTACAGGCATCTGTCCAAAACTACGCTGAGAACGTACAAGGTGGATAATGTACAAGGTGGATAATGTACAAGGTGAATGTTACCTATGTCAGCACCTGTTTATGCGTGATTCGGGAATGAATCTTACTGATCATCATTTATGCGGGGGTTTTGGTGTAACCACCAACCTTTGTTGGGTTAGTTTTCTGACCAACAACAAGTCATGGCCACATGAGTCTGTTGTTGTTGGGGAGAAGCCCCTCTTGTTTTGCGATCAGGGAAAAAAACAGGAAACATGTTGCCTTTGCCCTCCCTCCCGTCAAACGCATTTTCGGTGTGTATGTGCCTGATTTTGACGGTAACCTTTTCAGCCGGGTCTAAAGCCGGAGAAAAAACAAGAAGAAGAAAAAAAGGGACGGAACCCCAACCAAACCCCCCCACTTCCCCCCCCCAAAAAAAAAAAAGCACTCCCCACCGTCCCCCCGCTCCGCGAGCGCGCACGTTCCCCCCCCCCCCCCCCCCCTCCCCCAATAAAAAAAAAAAGCTCGCCCCCGCCGTCCCCCACTTCCCCCCGCGCCAAAAGTCTCCGCCCCCCACCCAAAAAAAGACTCGCCCCCGCCGTCCCCCGCTCGCCAAGGCTTCCGCCCAAAAAACCCACCCAAAAAACCACCGAAAACCCCGAGAAACTCCCGAACTCTTCGAGGCGCTCGATCTCCACGGCCAGCGGCTCCGCCACCTCCGCGGCCCGGAGCCGCAGCTCCAGCGGCCCCTCCGGCGCCCAGGGCACGAGCCTCGCGCGGGGCGTCTGGGGGAGGTGTGGCGCCTGGGGGTTCTAGGCCAACGACCGGAGGACGACAAAGAATATGTTGGAAGGGAAACAGCTCGCGGAGAAAAACAAAAAAAACTTGGGGTGGTGGACCAAAAATATGTGGAGGGGGAGCATCTCGAAAAGGATTGGAATAAAATGGAAACTCCCTCGTGTATTTCTAAGGGGGAACAATGGAAATCCAAAAAAGATCAAGCATACTTTAAAATGTGACTTGCAGGGCAGCTGTGCCTGACCCACATCTCTTATCTTTGGATCTGCCCCCACACCTCCCATTCTTAGATAATTACCCATGGATGATCGGGCCTTTTGGGGAAACGCCCGGAACCCACTTCCATGATTGCTGGAAGAGGGTACCTGACCCACATTTGCACGCAGAGGTTTGTCGTGCACAACTCGAAAGGCCAAGGCAACATTTACCTGGGGTTTGCCGGCGGGTTGGATGGGTGTGTGTTTTGAAGGGTACCCTTTCGGGTGCCATGATTCCATGCTCATCTGAAGGGGAGCGGAAGGTCTGGGGTTAATTTATGAGGTCGGTCACCCTGTCTGGGCTCAATCTGATTGGAGCTAGCTAAGGCGTTCTTCCGAAGAAACCCAAAAGGCCTGTTCTTTCCCTGAAAGGGGGGGGACTGGAGATAAAACCACCATCCAAGCAGGGGCAAAACCAAAGCCACAGAGAGACACACGACACGTTGCCAACATCGGCTCAATCTCAAACGGTCAAAGCCATCGACTCCATGACGAAATGGCCGAGGGCTGAGTTCACGGCTGGGTTCGCTTGCTTCCTTCCTGCATCGCAAAGTGCAAAGTCGCACCATCCCTTTGTTTCAACATGTTTAAACGGCTATTGTCCAAACAACACCACTTGGCTTCCCTTTAAAGGGGACAAGGGGTTGATTGCTTCTGAAAAAATGCACCCCCTCACTTGCCGGTCCTGAACAGGCCGCTCGCAGGCATAGGGCAGGATGTACTTGCTCTTCAGCATCTCCAATTCCTGTGCAACACTGCGGTCGACATTCATCGTGCACCCCAATGAAAAAAGAACTTGGTGAGTCACCTCCACTGAGTGGCCCCCTGACTACAGACGGTCAATATTGACCGTCGACCTAAGGCTCTAAGGGAGACCTAGCGGATGGGAAAACCACCTTTTTCACGACCAAAAAGCAAATGGATCAAAGGATTACCTAATGGTGTAGATCGATCGTGAGCGAATCGAAGCCCGGGTGTTTTGGAAAAATGGATTCCGCTAGATGAACAAACCGAACTGGTCCAGTACCGATTCCCCAAACTGACCTAAGCTCCTTTCCCCCCTACTTAAACATACAAGGCTCAGTGCCTTCGGGTTTGATTCCTTTGTCTTTCAAACCTCTGGAAGATACCGGTATGCTGCCTTTTTCAGCCTATCCTAAGGGAAGCAATTCTTTGGGGTTGTTTCAAAGGGAAACCGAAGACAAACCCCTCCAGGGAGCTCAGTCCCTCGCAACTTCCCCCTCCAGAAATATTATAAACTCCGCGGCATGTTTGTTTTGCAGCACTTCCGCGAGCACACTCGTACAGTCAGGCCCTTGCTGCAAACCCCATCATTCGCGGCAGAACCTGGGTGGGGCAAAATATGGTTTAAACACCACCTTTACAAAGGAAGAATCATCACAACCAGTACTAGTGGTTGAAACATGTTTAAACCAATGGGCGGCCCCACCCTAGGCAGAACCACCTACAGTACACAAGTGGCCAATAGCCCCAAGTTGGGTGTTTCTCAAAGATTGCGTGGTCCCCTTACAACCAGAAGGGGTTCACCCTAAGAGCCACGAGCCGTGTCCCCCGAACCTGTCGGTAGCGCTGCTGCTGGTCGCTGTCCAAGCTGGCGCCGTGTGCGTAAGAGCCTCACACAGACGCTGAGACCCTTTCTGCCAAACCTTTTTGGGGGGATCGGAATGCGAGCAGCGCCCAAAACCAATTGACTTTTGGTTCTAAGACGTGTCTGGGGGTTTAAGGCTGTAGTGCAATCTCAAACAAACCCAGGCACAACCATCTAAAATGACTGTTGTGTTTTTCTTCTTTTGCCGAAAGAATCGGTTCCCGTCCTGCGGCAGGGTTTGCCCGCCGCTTCTGGCGCTCCATATGGTCCGACCTCGGACGCCACTTTTCGACGGGCGACTTGAGGCACGGCTTGGCGCTCGAGGTCGACTTTCCGGCCGTGAAACCAGGCAACCGCTCCAGCTTTCGTTTAGGAATGAAACTGAATTCTGGTTGATAAACCACAATTCCCGGATGATGCGCGGCGTGGATTTCAGTATGACAACTGGTAAGTGTCCTTGAAGAAGAAATGATTGCTGATCATTGGCTTCTTTCATCTGACTTAGACCTGCACAAAGCTAACTGTCGCGGTTGAAAAATTAGAAAAACAAAAAGAACGGGCAAAAAATAGAACGTCGGCTGGGCCCGGCGATGCCATCCACGTCACAAACTTACGTGGACCTGTCAGGGCCTGGGCGATTGGGCGCCGAGCCGTGCCTTCCGGACCTCTGCCAGGATATCTTCCGCGCGGACCCTGGCTTTTGCAGACTCACTTTGAGGCAGGAGCTGTTAACGTGGCAATTGTTTTTTGTCTCTCTTTGTTTTTTCGTGAGGGGGGAAGGCTTCCTCTTTGCTTTTTGTCTTTCGGAAGGCGGGGGGGTGTTTTTTGGCGCAACATGACATGTGTTTTGCGGTTTCATTGAGAACAAAAGATCGTGTCCCGAAAAGGGGAACCAAAAGGTGAGGCCGGCGGCATGTTGCACAAGTGCTCACTTCCGAGCGAGCAGATCGGCACAAAAAGAAAGACGCCTCTAAAATGATCCGAACCCAAAAAGTGACTCTCAAGTCCAAAAAAGTGAGAAGAGGGATCGTGACCCGAAATGGAGTGACCAATGGCTACATTCCCTCAGCGAGCGGAATGTTGCCAGTCTTTTTCCGGCCTCTCAGACCCATTTGTTTCATTCCCAGATCCCAGGCTTGTACCAACCACGCTACCAGATTGCGAGGCCAAGGGACACCAATTCAGGAAACACGCAACTGCGCCTCGGAACCTGAGAAAAATGTCAGGCGCCATGGCACAAAGAGCCGACAAAGGGCCGACCATGAAGCACGCTGACTCGTCCTTCACGGAAACCGCCAAAAACGGAGAAAAAGAGAGCTCAAGATCCTTTGGGTATGAGAGAATCGCTGGACATTCAGGGTATTTGTGTCCACCTTTGGAGACATTCACCGTCTTGATTTGTGAATCCAGCCTCTCTTCAGGCGGGAACATCTTTTCCAGGTCCACCGGGAATATGGTGCGCCTTGCTCTCGCCAGAAGCCATATGGGGGTGTCTCAAAGTTGGGGCACCCCAACTCTTGGGCTACGGTCCTTTCGGGTTCCCTTCAAAACCACCCTGAAATACAGCACGCCTATGTGACATATGCCAGTATACTTGTGACCTATCCAGCTGGTGCAGGATTTGTTCCATCCACAGAAGGGGGCTGGGTGTATTTTGACATTCATTGGGTCCCGTCCCAAATCCCAAATCCACCAGATTGAGCGCCCAAAACGAAATGAATGACTTTTGGTTCTAGGGTTCGAATTTCAACGGAGGAGCCCTGACATCAGGGTGGGGATTCATGTACCACTTTGGTCCTTCCAACTGACCGATTCCAAGTCTGGGAATCGGTTCCTGAGGGCTCGGCCCGGGTACATTCGGCGGCTCCACGGGAATGTCCTCCGCTTCCCCGTAGAGGTGGCTGATGATGGCTGGCACGCGTCGTGCAATTCCCAGGACCAACCCCGAAAAGGCAAAGTTTTGGGTTGGAAACATTGCATGGCCTCTGTCTTCAGGGCATTCTGAGCTTAAAAGTCCACTTTAAAAAAATGAGGTTTGAGGGTCAGGTTTCAGAGTCCACCCAACCCAGGAACAAGATGAACCCCCATCTGTCTTACCCGATACCCTGAGGCCCGTGACGGGTTGTGTCCCCCTGCTCCAAAAATTGTTTGGTTTCCATCCCGGTGGAGAAAAGGCCTGGTTGTATCTTTTAAGATACGGAGGCAACCTGAGTCTCCCCCCCCTCCCCAACAGGTTTGCTAGAACCTTGTTAGAAGGGTTCTTAGGACGAGAGTTGTAAGACGGGTTCTTAGACGGGTTCTGAGCGAACCTCTCTGGATGGGGCCAGAAAGTGTCTGAATTTGAAGCCCTGCTCAAACTCCAACCCCCGGCCTTTGTCCAAGGGCTCATCGCTATCCTCGTACCCCACGCCTGGCTCATTGGCTCGCTGGCTCGCTGGCTCACGCACTGCTAGGTGAGCCCAGGAGTGAGCCCACCAAAACAGACTGACCAAGACGCGCCAAAAACCTATGGAGCCTGAAAGGAGCTGGGTCCCCAGTCTGGACCGTTCTCCTCCAACCCTCCTTCAGGTTCCGTGCTTCGGGAGTCAAATGGGGGTCCCTGGGCCGCACTCTTTGGTCCCTAACCTTCACCTATCCGAATGGGTTTTGGGCATTGGGAAGGCTCGTTCCGCTCCTCATCACCACCCCAACCATTGAGCCAGTGCAGTGAACCAGCAAACTGTAGCAACCTCCGTTTGGTGAAACCCGTTTAAGAAGACTTCGGCGCGGTTGTTGGAACAAACTTAACCCAACCACCAACCCATTTGCAAGGGCTATGAGCAAGGGAGTGGCTACCACAAATAAAGGTCTCATGAGGAGCAAATCCCTGATCCGAATCCCCCGGCCGATCCTTCCCCAATCCCCCCTCCCAACCCAAAAATGTAAACAATGGGCGGGGCACGGTGGCGCAGTGGCGGAGCTATTCGGATGGCCGCTGCGAGACCGCTGGCATCATCGGCCTGACTTCCGTCGGGGTCTCGGAGGACTTGCTGGGTAGGGCAAAATATGGTTTAAACACCACCTTTAGAAGGTGTGATTCGGGCACGAGCCTGTGCCCAGGCAATGGGTAAGTTGGGGTAAACAAGCCACAAAAGAAAGGTTCCCCAAAAGCAAACCAATCCCCGGTCCCAAAGATCAGGGTTTCCCACACACCAGAGAACAACAACCAAAAAAGGAAACAAACCAAACAAGAAAAGGGTTAACCCGCAACCTTGATCGACAACAGGCCGCACGACTGGTCCCTACCAACCTGGCGGCAGCCCGAGGTCTCTTTCTCCCCCGAGATGCCGTCGGTCGACGCAGGGGTTCGGCGACGCCCATTCGAGGCGCGACGGAACCCAAAATCTTGAGCCAAACACCACCGGTCAGTCACTATCGCGACATCCCTGGTGATGGTTTAAGACATGGCTAATCACACCCCCCTCACGAGGAGTCCGTCATATGACGGGCGGAGCGTGCCATTTACTGATAGGATTTAACTGCTTGCATGTGTCCGCAAACAGCTGGACACTACCGCCGTCAGCGGTGAAGCAAACCCGCAAAGGCAGTTGCGCGACATCCCGGGCATTAAATTCCCGCCACCACCCCGAATTAATCGGGGTAACGCTGTCCAACATACCTTGTGGGAGAGTCCACATGACGGCACTAGGCCACAACTGTTTGCATCAACAATGCAAGAAGTTCAATTCTTATCAGAAGCCATGAAACAAAGGATACCGTATGTTCATCAGTACCCTCGCCTATCGCGGCAAGAAGTACTACTGACCATTCGTACCTGAAAAATGCTTATTCCGCAAACCTGGGAGTACCCTCCACCAGTTTGCTTCCCCTCTCACTCATACTACTTCATGATGAGCAAGACCAGCAGCCGAGCAGCGGTACGGGAGACACATGATCCCCGCGCCTCAGCGGTTCGGGAGGAGCATCACCATCTCCGCACCGCGCCAACCATCGGAGAACGGACGCAAGCCTATCGGCCGCAATCCTCGTGACTCAGCCTATCGGCTATCGTCACGTCTCCTCCGGTCACGTCCGCCCCGCGCACGGTCCCTATCACGATCCCTCTCGGATCTCCTGCGATCATCTCGCCTTCGATCCCGCTCTCGACCGAGTGAGTCATCATCACGACGATCTCGAGCATCGTCCCTCCTCCGGTCACGATCTTCGTCACGCCGCGGACGGTATCTGCGCCTTCTCGATTCTCGGGAATCCCTGGTGTCCACGGTCCTAACGGATCTCCGAGAGGGAGTACGGGACACATCCGAATCCCGACGACCCCTTCCGAGGCGAGAGTTCGTTACGATCTGGTTGAGAGCCTCCAACGCCGAATCATCTTCACCATTTCTGATGAAATCTCTGACCTGCTTATTCAGCACCCTATCGGGCGACATCGTCAGAAAAGCGTTCACCACCGAACTCTCCGGCAACACCAGGAAATGACCTTCCGCCGAGCTCGCAGCAGCTCTCTCCGCCGACTGCAACCTGATCTCACCCCCTTCAGGCTTCTTTGCCATTGCCTTGGAGGCCGTCAAAGGCGCTACCGCATCCTTTGCCGAAGATCTACCTAGCGCGGAATGAAGATCATCTCCACTTGCCTCTCTCGCTGCCGCACCTGGTCTGCTGTCAACGTCATCAGGCCTTGTTGATGCCTCCCGCTTCGTCGACTCCTTCACAGTCTCGTCGGGATCCCAACGGGACTTCCTTTCTCTCTTCTGCCCTTCAGCTGAGCCTCGACTACCGCCGGGAGCATCAGCACCGCCTACCTTCTCCTTCTTGACTTCAACTTTCGGGTCGGCCTGCTTCGTCCCCTTAGGCTCAGCCTTCGGGGCTGAAGCACTCTTCGCCTCAGTCACTGAGGCAGCCTTTCCCTTCGGCTCGGCCTTTGGGACCGGAGTCATCTTAGCCTTTGCGCTTGGTCGGGCTCCTTCAACCGCTATCGCGACCCAAGTCTTCTTCGGTTGAGCCGCAGGGGTATCAACCTCCATCGGAGCCGGTCCAGCATCACCCTTTGCTTTTGCCTGTGGGACAGAAGGACTATCGCCCTTGCCAGACCCTTTCTCTGGCTCTTCACCTGACTTTGGTGGAGGGCCGGAAGGACTACCGCCCTTACCGCCTTTCTCTCCTTTCTTCCCTTTTCCTTTTCCGCCCTTGACGATCGGCTCCTGCTTAGGACCAGGACCCTGCACAGCATGATGCACCGACTGGAGCTCTTCAACGTTCACCTCCAACGGCTCCGGTTGACGACCATCAATAACCGTCCTCACCCTCTCGTCGCTAACGTAGACGAATGGGTCACGGAATGGGGCAGGAGGCTCTGATTGCCCGGCACTGATCGCCTTCTGCACCTTGGCTACCGCCTCCCTCAATCTCTTCTTCTCATCGTATCCTGTCACTGAGACTAGGTACGTCCTGAGTTCTGATATCAACGCGTGACTGGCCAGGATGTCCACGTCCTTCCGATGGGTCGGATACAATGGAGTCAGATGACCCGCCGCAGAGCCAATCACGTACGCCATTGGGATATAGAAGGACAGATAAGTGTCGTGGCGGGCGAACTTCCTAACGGAAGTCGTCATACGCCTACCCCATTGGGCCGCATGAATCGGATTTGCCCGGAAATAATCAGTGACCGAATCAAATCTATCGACTTGATTGGTCTTGATGAGGTGCTTCGCCACCCACTTCTCCACAAACGCGTCCGAGGCCGAAATCCCTGACACATAGGAGAACTGAAAGAGCACCTTTGCCAGCTCATCCCACGCCGCATCGACTCCTCCCTTGTCCTCACCGAGATAAGGGGGCAGCCTAATGCCGCTCTGCACCGTCATCCTCAGGTCAGACGCCATCGAATAGGAAATCAAATTCCTCTTGATAACTCCGACCACCTCGGCTGGGATCCTCTTGGGCTTGAACTGCCTCATACTCTTCACCCAGTTCGGGACGATGGCACATCTCTCGAAGTCATTTTCGTCTGCGTTGGGGATGAAGTTCGGGTAGAACACTGGGAGTGCGCACCCGGGGCACAAATGCATCCCATTAGGCGTCATCTCCGCGCATCTCAAGCAGAAAGTGATGGTCACGTTCAACCTGACTTCCTCACGCGACCGCCTGTGTTCCCCCCTATCGGGGGTGAGGTCACCATAGTCCCAGGCCCGATGGTACACTATCGTGTAATCATCGAACATGTACGCAGCCTTCCACGCGCCCATGTGGATCTCGTTTCGAACAGCAAGGGTCTTTCTCCTTGTCAGGAACACAGGTCCAACCAATGACCAATGCACCCGAAGGTCCACAATGACCACCACGTACCTACCTGAGTAGTTCCGCAGCCTGTCCCTAACGTACCACGACGGCGACACCTCGGCGTTCGGCGCCATAGTTTCCACAATTGGAATCAGGCCCTCATCCAGCCTTCCATCCCCAATGGTCTCGTACGCATCGGGCCTCGTGATCAATATCTCGATCATTGCCTTCCCGTTGCGCCTCATCTTCTGGAGTTGGACTGCCTTCCTGAAGTCGAGAAACTTCATGATGACGTACCCCACCATAGGGAGTTCATTCCAGTGCATCTCGTACATCAGAGATCCGCCAGGTGCATCCTCCTGAGTGTATCTTTGCCTAACGGCGCTGAAACTCATGTCCCGTCCGATCCGCGTGTACCTAACGGCCACCAATCTGGTGCACCCCCGGAGGAGGACACCATTCCCATCGTACATGATCATGAGCATTGTCTCAACTTGCCCTACCGGGAAAGCTTTGATCGCCGGGATGAAGAACTTCCATGACATCTCGGCGTTCTCCATACCCGTGATCTCTCTCAGAAACCAGATAGCTTGGTCACTACTCACCCAGTTTCCAGCCTCCCGTCCAGTTTCCTTCAGCACGTTCTCCTCGAATAACTCCGAGACTCTTTTCGAGTTGATCATCAAACCTTCAAAATCACACGAGAGCAGCTTCATCAACGCCTGAGCCGCCTCTCGTCCTGCGACGGTGCTCGCGGTCTCCTCGTAGTTCGGAACGTACTCGCTCAAACTCGTCTTCGATGGGACCACGATCTGGCAAGTGACAGCCTCATCAGGCACAACCCCAGTTTCCCGCAATTCTGGATTGATCTCCTGCCTATCGGCGAGGTAGTCCTTTCTTCCATCCAGGATCGCGAGGTTGTACGTCATCTTGCTTGCCGCCACACTCGGGCGGAAATTCCTGCTTGCGTCAACCTGATCGGGCGCAAAGGGCCCACTGGGAGCAGATGCACTCACCATTGGCGCCCCTCGCCCAGAGCACAGGTGCTTCTTGTGGAAGTTCACCATCTCATTCAGCTGCGACAAGGCGTATGCTCGATCCTCCAGTGACGCACTCTTCATCCCTGCCTCAGTGAGAGGAGCTTCAGGCTTGTCATAACTCGCCTTTCCGCCCCATCTAGCCGCGACGAGTTCAGCAGACGTTGCAGCGTCGAGCAAGTTTCCCGACCATCCAGGCATGTCACTCAGCCTCTTGGTCAGTGCGTCTATCGACGCAGTCAAGTCTTCGTTTGTCACTGTGTGTGGGTCGACCTTCTCCCTGTCCTCCTGACCAACGTCAGGGAGCCTGAAATCCCCGCGGATGGCCTCCATTGCGGCCCTCTCTGCCTCCTCAGCCTCCTCTTGTGTGGCCACGGCCCTGGGAATCAATAGCGCTGCCTCAGCAGGCAACGGCTTCTCCATGTTGATCGGATTATTCTTGGGAAGAATTCTTCGATCATCTCCCTCCCCACTGTACACGTATTCCGGAGCGGTCTTGCGGTACTCCTCAAAGGTAGCCCCTCTGTAGTTGCTGATCTTGCTCGGGTCTGTCTTCCCAGCCTCAGTACCCCGAGGTTTGGGCTCGCCCGTTCCAGCAGAACTCTTCTTGGAGCCTTCCTGATCCACCTCCATGTCACCTTTCTTCTCCATGGAAAGTTTCCCAATGTCAGGAAGTGTCA